AAGGTTGTTTCATGATTCCGCGTTGGGAGGACATTTAGGGGTGCTACAGACCCTAAAGAGGCTCAGCAGCCACTACCATGTAGGAATGCGCAAGGATGTGTTGCACTATGTATCCGAATGCCAAACCTGCCAACAGCAGAAATACTCCTCATAGTCTCCCGCGGGCCTTCTACAACCCCTCAAGATTCTAGAGCAAGTGTGGGAAGACCTCTCCATGGACTTCATCACGGGACTTCCCCGTTCTGCAGGGAAGGAGGTTATCATGGTAGTGGTTGACCGTCTCACCAAGTACAGCCTTTTCTCTGCATTGCCTCACCCTTACACCGCAGCAATGATGGCTGACATCTTCATACGGGACGTCACAAAACTGCATGGAACACCAAGATCCATTGTCTCGGACCGTGACCCTACCTTCCTGAGTTCATTCTGGAAGGAATACTTCCGATTGCAAGGAACCCAACTGCACTCGTCCACAAGTTATCACCCGCAGACTGATGGACAGACTGAAGTTCTTAATCAATGCTTAGAAGCCTACCTTAGATGCTTCATAGGGGAGAAGCCTAGATAGTGGGCCCACTGGCTCCCATGGGCAGAATACTAGTACAACTCGACTTATCAGTCGGCTGCAGGAATGACACCCTTCAAGGCTCTATATGGCAGAAAACCCCCTCCCATATTACCTTATGAATATGGGTCATCCAAGGTGGCAAAAGTAGAGACCCGCCTACTAGCAAGAGACGAGATCCTTAGACTGCTTAAGACCAACTTGACAAAAGCCCAACAACGAATGAAGGTCCTCTATGACTCTCACCACCGCCCATTAGAGTTTCAGGTGGGTGATTTTGTCTACCTTAAGCTCCAACCTCACCGCCAGGTCTCAGTGGTAAGACAGGCTTGGCACAAGCTAGCTCCCAGGTATTATGGGCCCTATAAGGTGCTAGAGAGAGTGGGCCTTGTTGCTTACAGATTGGACCTCCCTACTACCTCAAAGTTTCATCTGGTGTTTCACATCTCACTTCTCAAGAAAGTTGTGGGAAATCATACTCYTATSTCATCCAACTTACCCCARTTCAYTGAGGAAGGGGACATTTACACGGAGCCTATCAGAATTGTGGATTTCCGTTGGGTTCGACGAGGTAGGCAGGTTGTGCCAGAAGCCAAGGTAGAATGGGTCAGGCTACCTCCAGAAGACGCCACTTGGGAACCTTATCTAAGGTTGAACGAGAGGTTTCCAAACCTAGACCTTGAGGGCAAGGTCAATGCTAAGGAGGGAGGAATTGTTGGGACCCAAACACTCCCCCCCGAACCCAACTATGGGAGTGGAGCAGACCACGACCCATCAGCAGTTCACAAGGAGACAGAAAGGACACACGACAGAGCCCCAAAGTTAGTTACACTCAGAGTTGGTTACTCTGCAGCCAGAGGATATTCCCTCCATGATATCTTCCAGAGTTAGTTACCCTGCAATCAGAGGATATTCCCTCTATGATTACACCTATAGGCCAGCTATATAAGGCCATAATCATATAATAAAAGGTGTGAATGAATATCCCTTCGTTTTTCTCTCTCTGAGTCCATCCTCTTCCTACCTTCCCTTCTCTTCTTCCCCTTCATCTTCTGTTACAGGAGGTTAAGCCACCCTCGAAGGGGCTTCTGAGGTGAGCGGTAACTCATCAAAATATTATCTAAATCTATATATAATAAATATTAACTAATAAATGACTTAAAAAACATTAACTAATAAATATTAGTATATATACACACACATTCATTTTAGTTCTATTATTTTTTCAACGATTACTAATTATATCCCAATACTTTATATAAATCATTAAAGAATGGTTTTCATGTTTAAATAAATTAGTTATAATCACATACAACTCATTTTTGTTGTTATTCATATTTTTAAAGATTTTTTTTTGGATTTTCTAATGTATCCATGTGTATCTTGATTTTCCGTCCGTATCTATGCGTTTCCAAAGCGTATCTCGATACGTCTCTTAAAATTACCTTTCCGATACACCTTGCGTTTCCAATACTTTGAACCTTGATAGACTGATAAAAAAAAATTATATGGCAAGAGAGATCGAATATAAAGGCATTATTCCAGTCCTATAATCTCAATGACAATACTGAGCTCCTGCATATTATTTAATTTTTAATGCCTTCATTCTCTCTCTCCAATGCATGTTCTTTGTTCATATACTGGTTGACATTGCTGCCACAGTAACAATGTTGAAGACAGTAAAGCATATGACAATGAGGAAGACACTGAAGTATAGATCAATTTAATTGCATGAAGAATGAATATAATGGAAGAAGCAGAAATTCAGGTTACTGTACAGATGAAATTGTTGGACATGATAGGGTGGATGGAATGAAGATGACTGTTCTTTGTTTGTTTGCAGAAAGCATCAACCATCACTCTAGATTCCAATTATATTGAAGGAAATAAGCCAAATAATTAAATTAAGGAAATTAAAGGCTGTGAACCCTTGCATTGGCAGGACTTGTGACACTAACATGTTGGTATCAACTGTTAATGTTTAGAAAATCTAAAGGACAAGGTCCACATGACAAGTATTAGTGACTCTGGACAGCTTGGCACTAGAATTGGATCTACTGGCAGCCTGGTGGCAGAAAATATGATAAGCAACCAGTGGAAAAGGATGCTAAGAACAGCAAAAGCCTAGAATATACACAACAATGGAGTTAACTAGGTCATTTCCCAGAACCAACCTCTAAACCCTTGTCACAGTAGAAGAAATGACAGATAAAAATATTTTGTCACTCACTACTTCACTAGTTCTTTGGTACCATTGTGTTCTACCTGAAACATTTTGGGTCGATCAACACAAAATTGTAAGAGATGTATTGTCACATCAAATATGGGATTCACTTAGCCAGGATGATTAGACTCCACATGCCCCCCAAAAACAAATCTGCTGTATGCAACCTTTTGAAATCTTTGTGAACCCTAACACTTCTTGATCAGAAGAAGAGCTCTGAAAGACCCAGGTGTTTCTCTCATACCAGATGCACCAAAAAACTGCCATAGGGATTAAACACCACACAACCTTCCCCCTTTTGCTTAAGCCAATAACCTGCTGTATGATACTGATCAAAAAACAAATCTGCTGTATGACAACCTTCCGAAATCTTTGTGAACTGCCAGGAGCACAGCCTCCCTTTAATACTCCCCAACACTTCTTGATCAGAAGAAGATCAGCTCCGAAAGACCCAGGTGTTTCTCTCATACCAGATGCACCAAGAAACTGCCATAGCCCATAGGGATTAAACACCACTAGCTAAAAATTCAATATTCTCCAAGTTACTAGAATCCACTGTATAGTAATTTTTAAGAAGGTAAATTATATTTATAAATATATATACCATGTACACCGGTGCCCTGTACATGGGAATATATAAATCTAAAACAGAAAGGAGAAAAATCAGCAATAGAACAAATATCCTTATAAAAAATCTGTCGTGCAATACTGATCAAAATACAAATCTGCTGTATGATAACCTTCTGAAATCTTTGTGAACTGCCATCCAATAGCACAGCCTCCCTTTAATACTCCCTAACACTTATTGAAAAGAAGAAGATGAGCTCTCAAAGACCTAGGTGTTTCTCTCATACCAGATGCACCAAGAAACTGCCATAGGGATTAAACACCACACTAACTTCCCCCTTTTTCTTGAGCCAATAAGCTGCCAACTTAGCTAGAAGCTGGTTACTAATCCACTATATAGTATTTATAGTTTTTTCAATTTTCTAGAATAGTCTTCTGCTGCTTACTTTTTTTTTTTTTTTTGATATCTTTTTAAGGGCTACACAACAGGGGATAGTCCATCCCCCAACTCAGGTGCAGGTAGGATTCGACCCCAAGTCTCCGCTACGACCAGCAGGAAACCTTACCAACCAGCTGGTTGGCACCTTGCAATCTTCTGCTGCTTAGATTACTTACATAGCTTAACCATAGTTTAATGCTTCCTACCCCTATGGGAATGAAACCTGATATGGCATTTACTATTAATTTATAACCATGAATACAGTCAATTAATTTGGTTAGAGAACCAAAAAGTGTATTAGTGTATGACACGGGATAATAGTGTGATGTTTCTGGGTCTTAGATGTTTAATACCTTACCTTTCAAAAAAAAAGATATTTAATCTTGGTGAACCGGAATTACTAGTCTACAGTTTTTGGTATAAATTATGTGCATTACTACATTAGAAGCAGTAGGACAGTCTCACAGGATATTTAGATCCATGCTGAGAAATTTATATTTTTGCCACTTTATTGTTCCAATGAGGTTTTCATCATTCTAGTTTTCTCATTCTTTGCTGGGTTTGTTTTTTTCTTTTCCTGTAAGGTAGATTTTAAACTAATACCAAGTATAATGCAATTGCTAGGTGCTAACCTATCAAAATCACAGTTTTCCAACATAACAATGGAAACCATACCTGAAGCAATACATCATGCATGTTAGTCCTAAAAAATTTGAAAATTAAAAAAAAAAAAAAAAGCTCTGGTTTACATGAAAATAAGCACCATAAAATATAGAAGACCACTTAATAGAAACATGAAAAGAATGCAATCACAAAATAAGGAGTTTCATCATCATAACTAGAGCCTTACTGAAACTATTTGAAGTTGACTATTTTGGAGGGCTTAACTTTGGTTCAGCTGCTTTGAAGACTCAAATGGAAGAGGCTTTCACAGAGAGCCATCTAAATACAGCTATGATGACCAAATTTGGCTCTCTCAGGTATTTTACCAAACATTGCTTATGGGCTTTCAAGGTGGGCCCCACCTCAAAAGGCCAAAAGTTGCAGAGTGAAAGCCCTCCCTTACATACATGTAAACACTAGATATATAAATAATTAAAAAAAACTAAAACCTACAGCGCATACAATAGCAAGAAATCCATCAAGCTCAAAAGGAATATTGTATGGAGGAAAAAATTAGTAAAGGCAAATCAAGACAGACGCACCTCTCAAAAAGCCTCTCAATTGTTTGAAATTGCTTCTCCGATGAAAGAAGTGTTTCTCTTACACTGATAAGACTACTGACATAAGATTTTAAGGATTCAAAGTCCTGCTTCACACGACAAAGCTCCTGCTCATTTTCTGCAGCTCGTTGCCTTTGTCTAGATGTTTCTTGCACCATATCTTCCACCTTCTGTCTCATCTCATTCAAAATGCAGTTTGTACCCAGTGCAAATCTTTCCATCTCTTCAACTTTTGCTGACATGCTTTCAATCTGAAGTGCCTTCTTTTTAATCTCTTCCTGACCTAAAGTCACCTTTTCCTTCTCAATAGCTGTTTCAGTTTCTGCCATAATAACCCTTTTAACCAGGGCTTCCATGACATCTGTTACCATGCGAACACACTTAAGTATTTCACCAATATAAGTTCCATCATGTTCATCAAATGATCCTTGTTTGTTGCCAATTCTCATCCATGTTTCTTCATCTGTGCAGCTAAAGGAAGAAAGATCAACATCCCTTGACCAATCACATAATGGCGTGCCATTTTTGTCAACAAGCCCCACCCCCTCTTGATGTCTTATCCCACATGAAGTATGGGCTAAATGCGGAACTGCCATTATTCTAGCCTTTGATTTCAAGTATGTAAGCAATGTTGCAGTAGTTTTTACCCTTCTCCAAAGAACTTCTAATTCTTTCTTTGCATCTTCTCCAGAGTCTTGGATAGAAGCCTTTACCTCCACAAGTTTTGCTTGCAATGCATCCACCTGAGATTGATGTCGCTCCATCTCCTGTTTCCAGATGATGCTTGTTTCACTAAGCTGAGACTTCAGGGTTGAGAAGTCAACATCTTCCTCCATTTTCACTGACATGGCCTCTTAATTGCAATGAACTGTATTTGAGATGAAACCTTCAATCCAAGAACCAGGGCATGCTAATAATCACGATAGACATACAAATAAATGTACATGGTATGAAATGAAGTAAGAAGGAAATATTTTTTTTATATATTAAAATAAAACAAAACACCCTGCTTAATCTTGTTCTATCTTCTAATTAATGCAAGCTGTGAAAAGCCCATTTAAACTAATATTGTGAACAAGTTGTGCTTGGCAGTACCAATCAAGATTAATGCAGCAATGCATTTAAAAGAAAACAATAATTTGAACCGGTGAATATGTCATTACAGTTACAAGTTATGTGTATAACTATGGAAAATTTTATCAGAACTACAAAGGCAGAACTAATAAAGAATGTGCAGAATTTTTGGCTCTTAAGGCATAGCTGTATAGCATCAAATTCTCTTCCTTTCTTTCTAAGAAATATCAGGTCTGATATGTTCTATCTATCTTTGCATGCATACATGTACGTATGGACATTCGTAATTTTGTATAGAAGACAAATGTGTGTGTGTGTATGTGCTTGGGTGTGTACAAAGTTTGATTCTTTATCTATAATAATAACTTTTTATCAGTATCCATAATAATAACTTTTATTAAGTGAAAAAGGAAGGACTTATAACTAGGGATAGTTCATTTTCCCCCAATACAGCTGATCCCTAGGGATCCCTCATCTTGGCAAACAGGAAAGGATCAGCCTGCCATTCTCCCTTATTTTCCTACTTTAAGACCAACCGTCAACACTACTAATGCACTAATTAGGAATAAGAAATTACTTGGCTTAGGACTATGACTTTGACCTGATAGTACAGTAATGTAATTAAGAAAACTAATCCTTATATGTATTTAGGGTAATAGCTCCAAATGTATATCAGAAAAACCACTAATGACAAATAATCAGAAAATAGCTAGTAAAGAATTGCAAAAATACCCCTATGACTATCAAACTGACAATATCTCCACATCCAAATATGAAATTGTCACAATATACAGGTGATGCATCAATACAACAAAATCAAAACATGGGCAAATTTTGTCACTGATCCAATAGTCTGATTTCTTAAAATGATGAGCAGGCCCCACTGGTCCATTACTTTATTTTCTTATTTGGATTCTTCTTCCTCTGGCTGATCTTTTTTATTTATTTATTTGACAGGCCATCGATCAGTTGTCAACAGTCAGTCACCAGAATGCTAAAGACAGTATTCAATCTCAGGCCTGGGCCTCTGGTGTTTGAATATCCACCCTCAATACTCTGCCAATTATTTACCTGGAATCATCTTTATCAACAAGTTACTTAACAACATGCACTTATCCATTTTGTGAAACCATCAAAACTTGGATAAGTTTTGTTCATCTAAAGAAACTAGGAATACTTTCTGGAGACTAAACATGATTTAGAACTCAAAATCCCTCCCAAGGGCATTGGTTCTGCAAATAAGTTTGGTAGGGTTAGAAATTAGGTTCATATTTGTTAAAGGAGAGACAGTAAACAACTCCAATAAAAGGAAAAGGAACAGCCTATGGGCTTAATGCAGCAGGGAACAATCATGCAATTAATAAAATATGGTCCATCTGTGATACAAAGATCACTACATAAGACTAAAGAATAAACTCAATGCAAGATGTGAATGAAAGGAATGAAAATTTAAAGACATGATTAAGTTAAACTTGCACAATGAATTTAATTTGTTTACGACAAAAACATGCAAGTGCCCTCATTTTTACTATCATTGAAATACTTGTTTGGTTACCCATTGAAAGGCCAATATCATAAGAACCAAGTGAAATTTAGGGGAATTATGACAAGAAATGCAGCCCACATATAAATCTACAATTGTAGTCTTTAGTTTTCGATTCTTCTTGAATTTTCAAACTAAAACTTGTTAAATTTGGTTTGGCAGAAATTGGTCTTAAGCTATTCATTTAAGAGAAATTTGAAACTTGTAATATATAAATCTGTACCACAAATGTGTATTATGTTAAAGAGCCACTAGAAATCCTGAAACTAGGGCAAGAAATTTGTATAAGGCTTCCAGTTTTGCTATAATGTAAACAACTACCAATTTCAATAGACATTCTAAAATTGTATTTTTCTTTTGTGCAGCTTGATTCCATATAGCCTAGAAATGCAGTTCTTCTAGTTCTTTTTGGTGGTGCAACCGTGCAAGTATAACTCCATCCAAGGTCAAGAAGATCTGCAACTACAGCTCTTGTACCCTAATTCCATAACTCTTTTACTATGTTTTTAATCACAACTATCAACTCTAATTGATAGAGCGTCTTAGATATTGAATGGTTAGATATTGGCTAATGAAGTTTACAAGAGTCAACTGAACTAAGTAAACATCCAACAAAACGATGGAAGTCATTTTGAGTTTCAACATTAACTACAGCTTTTGTTTAAACAGATATTCGACGATTAATGATAGATGGCCATCTTTACCCAAAAAAAACAGAGAAAACAACCCAAATTGATGATCTTGGAAATACATGTATAAATCCAAAGTCTTAAAGCTCCAAAGAAAAACTACTCCGCTTGGACGAACTATGGATAAACAAAAGAAAAGCTAAACCCGGTAAATCAAATGAAAAATTACTTATTGCTCGAGAAAATTCAAACTCCAAGAGAAACTCGATCAGAATACAAACCAAGAAACAGTAAATAATACGGAAACATAGACTACCGAACAAAATCAAACTGAATATATGGACACAAAATTATTTTAAAAATAAAAGACTTTCATGAATAATTTGCAAAATATATATAGGATTCGGATTAAGAGATTAAACCTTCAAATTTGAGGGACTGGAGGAAACCTTTGAAGGGTTTTAATTCCAGATGTGAGAGCCTGAGAGGTTTCTTCCAACCCGTTTTCTGATGGGAAGAAAATGGAGAGGGAACTGGGAACAGGGAAGGTGGGTTTTTTGTCTTTTTAGCTTTTTTTATTTTATCTTTTTTTCACTTCTAATCCATTAATTTAACCGTCCGATCTGGTTGTCTCTGATGACATACCCGTGCGTGTATTTCAGTATCGAGTGATCGTTGTTTCCATTGGTCTATTATACACGCAAGAGAAAAAAAAAAAGTTTACCAGCATCAATAATAGAAATTCGTGAACATAGAGGTGCAAATGGATCGGATCCGGTTCGAATTTTAACGGTTTCGGATATTTCATTGGATTTTCGGATCGAATTGAATGAATTTGAATCGTAGGATCCGATTAAAAATAGGATCTCGTTTGGATCACCCCTATCCGATGTGAATTTCATGCATATATATAATTTTTATATTATTTATTTTTTATAAAAAAGACATGTATATATATGATGAATATATATGTATATATGTATTTTTTGTAATTCTTTTATGTATTATTGCATTTTTGTTTTTCTTTATATAGACTCTTACGTTTTTTCCCTTTTTAATAATTTGTTAAATTTTATAGAATTAAATTGAATCGCATCATATTTAGATTCAAATTGACCTTTATGAGATTCAATCAAATCTTTGGATCGGATTCAAGATTTATATTATTGACCTTTATGACCTTTATTTAGCGGTTAGATAGAATCTAAACAGAGCACGACTTTCGAGGCCAAGGCTTATTGTGAAGGGAGAACGAACGTGGATTTTGAGTCTCTTCGAGAGAGAGCTCAGCCTTTCGAGTCTCTTCGCAAACTACTTTCGAGTTTCCCTGCTATTGCGAAGGCAGAATGGGAGAACGAACGAGTTTCCCTGTCGTTTCTGGCGACCTTCGAGGAAGAAGGTCTCTTTTGCCCTCCAAGATCCATGTGTTTGCCCTCTTTGTTTCGCCCTCCATGGCTCTATTTTGGAATCCGAAGGAAAGCCTACCTTCCACAAAAGGGACCTTCCATGAAAGAGGAAATCCGATGACTCTGGCCCTGTTTTCGAATCCAAAGGAAAGCCTACCTTGCATGGGAGAACGATGACCCTGGCCAACATGTAATACATGCTGCCTCGTAGATCTGATAGCCCGTCACTTGCAAACATGATAACCTACTGTCACTTGTATGCTCAACTGGGATTAATCTAATAGCCCATCACTTGCATGCTCGACTGGATTAATTTGTCTCTTCGTATTTCAGTTAGTGTTTGATTGCCTAGGTGAATAGCCATAATAATTTCTATCCATAATAATTTCTTCTCCTTGGCAGATGGTATTTGCCTTTTGATCATTTTCTATATATATTCCTTCTTATATGAACTTCATACTATTCTTGTTCTATTTTCTTCTGTTTTCATTCTTGTGGTTTGGGTTGTTGCCTGGGTTCTTCTAGTATTGCCGTTTGGGTTCTTCTGGTGTTTGTATGTCCATGATTTATTTTTTCTCATCTCACCTACAAATGCTTTGTTTTTCCCATCTCATTTTTTATGTTTTTATGTCTGTGATTTATTTACTTCAAACCAAGTTTTTTTCTGTACTGATATTGAACTCTAATATTTCCGATGTGTTGACTTGTCCTTTTGGTGCCAAGTCTCATTGAAGATCACATTGCATCAAGTTAGTTTACTAGTCCAAATTGTATCACTTGTTATTGATATTGAACTCTAATATTTCTAATGTGTTGATTTGTCTTTTTTGTGCCAGGTCTCATTGAAGATCACATTGCATCAAGTTAGTTAACTAGTCAAAATTGTATCACTTGTTATTGATATGCTTTAATAAAATTTCTTCTTTACTTATCAAAATAAAAAGTAGACTAAGGCTGCATTTGGCTTTGTGGAAAATAAGGCCTTTTCTCCTTTTACAGGCAGAAAAAATGATACATGCCATTTCTTTAAACTTTGATACATGCCAGCTTATCTCAAGTATGTCTTTGCATTTAAGACTTATATTATATGGATAGGATGTGTTTCTGTGTTGGGTTTTGGAATTATGCTTTGTAGTGACATTTTAGTAATGGTGGACACAGACCTGCTTATCATGTTCTTGTTATTTTGCCCTGGAAGCAAACTATTAGTGGCTCTTGATAAAGTGGAATAGTGAAACAGACTTTTGTATTCAACTCCATGTAGTTGAGATATGCTTTGTGTGTCACCTTGAATTATGTAGGACTAATCAAACAGTGAATTAAACAAATAGTTAATGTGTCATTGATGAACTCTCCTTAAATCTCAACATGGTTTATAAGGTTTCGTATCTTTGAATAACACCTATTTCCTAGATGTGTCAGTCTTTCAGTCTTTGGGATGGTTTTGATTTTACCTTTACAAGTTTCTTGGTTCTTTTTTAATACTAGAAACTATTTTCCTTTGAAAATTTCAAAACCATTCATCCAATGCCTTCTTTTTTTTTTTTTTTTGTAAAGTTGCATATTCTGACATATGAAAGTCTGAAGCTTATGTTTTTTTTTTCTTGTTCTATTTATAAAATGGACTATATAAGCCCATATGAAAGGAACAAAATCAAACCTGACCAGCAAGCCATGGCCGAACCAACCTCACCAATGCATGGACAGCAAAGTGGCCCTTTGCTGAATTAAATTTCCTGATATGATAGCTGAAAAGGCAGTATGGAAAGAAATCAAATTTCCTGGATTAATCAGAAGAAAAAGAAGTAGAGCGTGCTCTTTTCATAGTTAAGCTACTATGTACCCTAGATGATATCCAAACAAAATAGCTCCTAAACAAGCAACACCAACATAGGCAAAAATTGATCTAGAAGATTTTCCTTGAAGCTTGGTGGGGATACCATCCTCAATACCTTCATCTGTCAACAAGTGTCGACCCAAGATGTTACATGCTACTTGTACGAAAATAGTCAATGAGGAAGCAAAAATACATGTCCCTGGCTTAAACATGTAAGCTTCTTTTAAAGCAAAAATGACAAACCCCATTGTTAGATTTGAAACCTCTTTTAAATATAAGAACCATCTATTCAATAAGAGACAAAGACATACTAAGCAGCAGTGCTGGACTGAGTTGACTAGAATTTTTTGAAAGTCTTCGAAAAAACTGACTTGTGCAACATTATGGGTATTATCTTACTCTAACACCAGTCATCAAAACATTCAGATAAACCAAATTTTTTCTCTTTCTTGTTGAGAGAGGAGTCGTTCCATTTCAATGAAGATTTCTTATCATTTTCCTTTTTGCTGTCATTAGATTCAATGTGGGAACCAGAAGAAACTAGTAGCTGAAGTTCCCCTACAGCCTGACTAATCACTGCTCTTAGAACAATTGAATTTGACAACCAAAATGTCAACTTGCATTCAGAAGAAATCTTAGTCAGTTAGAGCATCCGACGAAATAAATTCAATTAATGGTGCACCCTTAGAAGACAGTTCCACATTTATAAAGTGGAAGATTTGTCTTTCAGGAAATTTAGGCAGACCAGATTCCCAAAGTATCACATCCATTAGATCATCTAACCATCCAATCAGTCTAAATGTTGTCAGGATAATTTGTCATTTATTATAATATTTACCGATCTGGTCTGGAGACATTAGCTATGATACCTGGAGAAGTTTGTATGTCTAGTGTACCAGTGTTGGAACAATAAATATCTGATACAATACTGAATATTGGATTGGAAGCTACCCATTGGAGCTACTTTGAGGTTACTTTAAATGGCTTCATTTATCACCCAATCCTTTCTAGTTCTCCACTCATCCATCCAGGTATGTAAGAAATAAAACCCATAAGATCTTGTAGATTAGTGTAAAAATACAAGGAAAAGTTTTCTGCCTAACAACCTACATGAGGAACACAACATCCTATTAAGTTAATATGAACAGTTAGTGTAATACAAACTTGGAAACCCCTAAGATCTTGTAGCCAATCAGTGCACATCCATTTTTTACACATCATTAAACTCTTTCACCATTTAGTACTTTTGGTTCATTTTGCTATTCACTAGATGATTAATGCATCCAATTGGTATGATCTTATGCCTATGTCTCATTTTGTTTCTCCTTAAGACTAGAACTACTGCAAAATTCTTGATCCAATCTATTTGTATGAGAAATCCTATCTAGAAAATATAAGCAAGTGTCTTCTTGTTGGAACTTCTATTTTCTTGTCATTGGAGTGATGCCTACAAAACAAAATTGAGGACTCAACATAGTTTACACTTCACCAACCAGCTGAGCAGAACCATACATAATTTTCATGTTCATTATACTTCTCCTGGAATATAAAATTTGAATCACATGATTTAAATAATATGTTTTCACATCTGGTAATAATCTCAAGCCTTTCTGAACTATCTCTGAAAGTCTGTAACATAACAAGTAAATGAGTCAACTTCCCTAAAACTCAAGCTGGAAGCTCAAAGTAATCTAATTGATTAGCCAAAGTATGTATACTCCTGAAATGGAAAGCAAAGGCCCTTGGTTCTTGAATATTCAGTTGCCTATTACGCATTGACAGGTCAGAAGTTATCCATTCCTAGAAGCATTAATGCATGTTGGTAGATGTTACCATTTGGCTCCTCCTCTATCTCTCTGTTGTTTTGTCTATGCAACCCCACGAAGCACCCAAGAGCCCAGGTAGCAAGGTGGAGCAACATGCTCTTAGTATTTTTCACCTTTTGAAATCTCTTGTCATCCATACATCTACCCACCCACCACCATCCATCCATCTATATCTATCTCCTGTTCATATTATTGTGAGGATGTGTGAAAAATGTCCACAGATAATCTTAACAGTAACAACAAATTCCCGGTACAATTTTTTTGGATCAAGTATATTTTATCAAAGATTCCTGCTACAATTTGCCAAAAAAGGTGTAACTGGTGACCTCCTTTATTCTGAAGTTTACAACAATTACCTAAAATTAATCATAGGAGAGCCTATTCAGGTCCAATCTTAGGCTGGGCTTGGGGTAAGCCGGGCTAGCTATCTTGGCCTGTGAACTAGGGTTATCTGGGTCATATCCTTTTTATAGGAACAAAATAATTTTTGAAAGGATGTGATACTAAATGATGATGACACTATGATATATGAACAACATAAGCCTGCTTACCTTCTATGAATATGTTTCAGAATGATATATGAACCCCATGGGATTCATATTGACATCATGTAGCTCAAGCCTGCTTACCTTCTATGATATATGAACCCCATTTACATTTGTAAACGTTGTAGGGACTAGCATACTAACACTCCATAGTCCCAACACATACATTATGCTGTGCATATGAAGGTCTTGCAGATATTGACATCTGAAATTCTGAAACTTATGTTTTCTTTTTTCCTTTTGTTCTATTTGTAAAATGGACTATATTAAGCCCATATGAAAGGAACAAAAATCAAGCCTGACCAGAAAACCAGGGCCGAATCAACCTCACCAGAGCCTATCCAGGTGACAATAAATGTTTAGGAAGTGCAGAACAGGATTCAAGTAGCCAACCCCATATGGTTTGGATAAGATTTAAATGATGATTATTATTATTGATGAAATAAAGTTTGATTTAGATTCTGGTAATTGCTAGGAGTATCTCTTTGCCACTTACCACAAACACAAGAGTTATTCTCCTTGTTTTGATTTCTTACTCGTTCTTTGGTGGACAGCAAGCTGACCCTTGCTCTTTCCATCCATATTCTTACATCTTTAACCACATAAAGTCCCTCCTTCACCCCATAAAACCCACCACTGGATCTTAAATTAGTATGGACCCCTACCCTCTCCTACATCAATTTTTTATATGCATCATAATTTACGAATTTTGCAACAAATATTTAACAAGCATGTAAAAAAAAAAAAGCACCTTGTAACACAGTATTCTCAGCAATACCAAGATCCTTAGATAAGCATTCAAGTGCCCCATTTACAACATTGCCAAAAAGGAAGAGAACTTTATTTAGCCTCATATTGATGCCTATTAGGTCATGAGAAAGCAAATCGTAAAACCACAACCCTGAAATGGACCTTATATACTTTGGATGAATTTTAAAAGGAAGGGTGTGTCACTTGCACCTTTTTTGTGAACAACTCAAAGGTGTGGTACTCCTAGAAATGGGCCTCTGATATTGTATATCTTGTGAAACAACTCAAGAGAATGGGCCAAATGAACACAACTATGGGCAAATAAATGCATTGCCTTTTTCCCCATCCCATTTCTTTTTGCCTTTTTATATTCCTTACATATTACACTAAAAGATGTTGCTCCAGAACTAATAAATCTGGGGCATCTCATTTTTATGTTTGTATGTATAAGATTTATTTACAGCAACCATATGGACATCGTAGAACAAACAGTGTACCAAATACATTTCAAAAACACTCATGAAACGTTTGGTTAAAAAGATGAGATTGCCAAACCCACAATGGAAATTAGAGAGGGATAACCGTGGGTATTGTGCTACCTTTATCTTTGAGGAGTATGTGGACGGTTGAGATTTTTTAAGAATTTCCAAGCATTCTAAAAAAGGGTCAAAGAAAAAGATGAAAAAATACAATGGAGTAAATAAAGAAAGTCTTCTAGATACATATAGAGGGTGTCAACTTTATTGAATGCCAATACTTTGAAAGGAAATCAGATAACCTTAAAAAGGAAGTTGCTCAATTGGAAGGAGAGGTATTGCAGTGTATGCCAATGGATGTATATGTTGCCATCTCGGCTCTATAAGTTTAAGTTGTTTACTTTTTGCTATTAAGCAGTTTGCAAGACTATTTGCCATAGCTACTTGATGGATGTGTATGTATATAGTTTATTGGTGTTTTTTGCAAATACAAACAGGAGATAACAAATGTACTAATGCTTTTTAAGTTATATGTTTTTTTATCTTCATCTTCGTGTTTTGAAGACTATTGATTTATGTTTTTCCCTTGTAATTTCTTTCTTGATTAACATTTTCTTTCAACTACAATAACAACAAAGGCAAAACATGCATTTGTTAAGTCACGATACATGTGACTACTTTCACCATAGTCAAATTGCATATTTATACCTTCTTTAATATTATTATTTTGGAGAACTTGAATGATTACAAGTGTATCATTCATATATTAATTGTCTGCACTATTAATTGTCAAATAACAGTGTTCCTTATTGAATTAAATATTATGATTTCATGCACT